TCAGATAACAGATAAAGGTGTTAGAGTGGGTTTAATCCAATTTAAAAATGTGCTCCAAAACTTTGTAGAAATGCCTTAAAAACAGCGACTCAGTCACACTTTTGTTCTTCGTTATTTTACAGAGAAAGCTCAATTTTGTCGGCGTTCACCAACTGCCTTCACCTAACCCTGAACCTTAGATTTAAAACACAAAATGGGTTTCTGAAAGGTTTTAAAGTGTAGAAAAATGTTTTGTTTATGACTGTAGAGAAACGTTTAGCAGCAGTCAGATCCAACGTCATTGAAAAGATTTACGATATAAAACAGGAGAAGAAATAAATGCGTGAACTCTGAAAACATGTTGTTGGGATTAAATAGGAACCTTGGATCTATTGAAGCTGAATGAGGCTAAATGTGGCTTCTCCATCTTTCTAAAGCGAAGAAAAGTTAGCTGATATAATAGAAAAAACTGTAATAATACAATTCAGAGCTAATGTTCCAGCAAGTTCTCCGATGCCTCAATGTGAAGATTGAATGATTTGATATAAGTTAGATTTTTAGATCACAGTGGGAGCAATCCAGAGGGTTTCTGCTTGATAAAGCCCTCATAAGCAACATTTATGGGTTGTATATATAATATATATATAATACAGCTTATAGCTTTAGGTCTTCATGACCAGCAAACATCACTTCCTGATTAAATGTCCAGTAAGGAGATGCTAATTAGCTAGCTGCCTTGGTTACACATGGAAACAAAACTTTACTGTCTATACAAAATTGGGATCAGATTAGAAATGAGTTTGCTTTAAAAAAAATAAAAATAAATGTAGCAATCAGCCAATCAGAACCGAAACAAATTCCCCCCAAAAAATTTAATTTTGCTGATCCAAGTTTGAGCTAAAAATGATGATAAAAATGATGCATCCTGAAAAGGTTTTGATTGTTGTTCAGCTGAATAAAACTCTCTCTCTCTCTCTCTCTCTCTCTCTCTCTCTCTCTCTCTCGGTGTCTCTCGCCCACAGTGATGGTTCGGGACGGACCGGGACCTACATCCTGATCGACATGGTCCTCAACAAGATGGCTAAAGGTGGGTGTGTCCCAGTGTTTCCAGCCCGGAAGTGTGCACGTGTACATACGTGTGCACGTGTTCATACGTGTGCACGTGTGTGCACGTGTGTGCGTCCCTTTTGTGTGATTGTGTGCGTGTCCACTGCAGCAGAATGAGCTCCTGGGTCTTTAATTCCACATCAAAGGGTCAGCCGGGGCTGAGCGGCCGTTTCCCAGGCTACCCCGCAGGGGGGCGTGGCCTAAGGCAAAGGGGGCGTGGCCCCGGACGCAGGGGGCGTGGCCATAACACCCATTTAACTCATTCGCTGCCAAAGACGTCTATAGACGTCTTTAATGTTTTTCAACGAGAGTGTCTGGGGGACGATCTGCTAAAGCTTGTCCGTAAATATCGGCTTCTAGACAGAGTATGTAGTAACAAATTGACCCTCTAGGGGGCAGTGCCACTTTTGATGGGAGATGAACATAGACTGTAGGCAAATAAAAACAAACGCAATAGTTCGCTATGAGAGAACATGTCGCCGGTGAGACGCACGTCGAAGAAGATCGGAATGAGGTACAAACAAAATCTTTTTTCCTGATGAAAGAAGAGAGTCTACTCTTTCTTTTGGTGTGTTCGGTGTTTACATAGTCATAGCACAAACTATTCTGTGGCTCTTGAAAAATCCGTCAAAATTCTCAAAAAACTCTGGCAGTGAGCGACTCTCTGTTCTGAAAATGGCTGCCAGTCAATGAGTTAATTTGTTCAGAAACCGTATGTATCAAAAAATGATACATTTGGCGTTACAGGGTTAAGGCCTACAAGGGAAAACTATATTTCTTTCCCATGTTTTTTGCCTTTTTCGTAATTTGCCTGACAAATTTCACACAATCAAACGACCCCGTTTTGGTCACAAGTCCTCTTTGCTTTCTTTTGATTCCAAAAGCTTTTTTTTGCAAAGCAGGAATTGTAAATTCACCCCAGAACGACTGCTGTGCTTCTCACGATTTGCCCCCCCCCCCC